GGAATCGACGGGCTAGGGTTGAACCGCTCAAGTGGACGGTGAAGGGTCGGAAATTGGAGGCTGATGGGTGGCGGACATCAGAACCGCGGGGAAGCTGCTGCCGGAAGGAGATGACGACGGTGGTGGAGGGTTCGCGAAGGTGGTCGTCGGCGGTGGACGGAGTTCCACGAATTTGTGGGTTAGGGTTGCAGTCGTGATTTAGAGAGAGAGCGACGAACGGGGCGAGCTAACCGCCGATGGTCGGAGCGATGGTCAGTCGGAGGTAATTCGTCGCCGGCGGTCGGTGGGTGAGCGGAGGAGACGGAGAGGGATGTGAGCGAGAGGGCGTCGGTCGTGAGAGTGAATTCGCGAGAGAGATAGAAAAATCCTGTCAAAGAAGACGTCAAAGTAAGATATAAGGAACGGGGAAGTCGCGACTCGCGACAATGACTCGCGAGTCGCGAAAAAAACTGCATGCGACTTCAATTTCCTGGGGGTTACTCGCGACTCGCGACATGCCTCGCGAGGCGCGACTCGCGACATGCCTCGCGAGGCGCGACTCTTTAGCTCGCGAGTCGCGAGACTGCGTCGCGAGTCGCGAGAATTACTGGGACCAATGACCTATTTTGCGAGCTAACTCGCGACTCGCGACATAACTCGCGAGTCGCGACCCCTTTTTTTTTTTATGGAATCAAAATCGATATATATATATACACATAGTACAATAAATGCTCGGTTTTAAGCCGGGAGCTCGGCATTGATGCCTTAGATCAAGGATACGCTGGGTCGCTGAGACTGATGGTCTCGATATGGTACTTCCCGAACTCCCCGTCGAAATATGGCTTCACTCGCTGACCGTTAACTGTAAATAGCTCGCCATTTGCTGGATTCCGGAGTCGAATGGCCCCAAAAGACAACACCTCCTCAATAACATATGGGCCACTCCACCGGGACTTCAATTTTCCCGGAAAAAGACGGAGTCGGGAATTGTATAAAAGAACACGCATACCCGGTACCAGCTCCTTTCTGACAATATGGGCATCATGGAGTCTCTTCACCTTGTCTTTATAGATCATGGCATTCTCATACGCTTCGTTCCTTCTTTCTTCTAACTCTGATATTTGCAACAGTCTGGCTTTTCCGGCTGCATCCAGATCAAGGTTCGTCTTCTTAATGGCCCACAAGGCCTTGTGCTCAATCTCCACTGGTAAGTGACATGACTTCCCATAAACGAGTCTGAAAGGGCTCATTCCCAAGACGCCTTTGTATCCTGTTCGTTGGGCCCATAAAGCGTCATCAAGCTGGCTCGACCAATCCTTCCTCGATGAGTTGACCGTCTTCTCTAAGATGGTCTTTATCTGCTTATTGCTTGTCTCCGCCTGGCCAGAAGTTTGAGGGTGATAGGGAGTAGCCACTTTATGTGATATACAATACTTCTTCATCAGCTTCTCGAAAAGCTTGTTGCAAAAGTGCTTCCCTCCATCACTCACAATGGCTCTTGGGAACCCAAACCTACTCAATATATACCCTTGCACAAACTTGATCACGATATTAGCATCACATGTCTTTGTGGGGATAGCCTCAACCCACTTAGACACGTAATCTACGGCAAGTAAAATGTACTCATAGCCATTAGACTTAGGAAATGGTCCCATAAAATCAATGCCCCAGACATCAAAAATTTCGACTTGAAGGTTATTAGTCAAGGGCATCTCATTTCTGCGATCTATATTCCCAGTTCTTTGGCATCGATCACAAGAGCGACAAAAAGTGTGAGCATCTTTGAAAAGTGATGGCCAGAACAAACCTGATTGTAGTACCTTAAAGGCGGTTTTCTGACCGCCAAAGTGGCCTCCACAGTGAAACTCATGGCAAAATGTAAGAACATCGACTTGCTCCTCTTCCGGTACACATCTCCTAAGCACCTCGTCCTTTCCCATCTTGAAAAGGAACGGCTCATCCCAGAAGTAGCCCCTACACACAGAAATAAAACGCTTTCTCTCTTGGGAAGAGAGGTCAGGCCGCAGTTTCCCACACCACAAGAAATTCACAATGTCAGCATACCAAGCACTTTTCGACACTTCATGCGCATGCTCATAAGGAAAATTATCATTAATAGAATGATGCACAATCAATGAAGATGATGAGTCAGATGGGACTATGCGTGACAAGTGATCAGCAACTACATTCTCACAACCTTTCCTATCTCTAATGTCTACATCGAACTCTTGCAGTAACAAGATCCACCGGATGAGCCTTGGTTTAGAATGAGTTTTGCTCAAAAGGTACTTCAAAGCCGCATGGTCTGAGTGAATAATTACCTTAGATCCCAAAATGTAAGATCTAAATTTTTCAAGAGAAAAGACCACGGCTAGAACTTTCTTCTCGGTGGTGGTGTAATTCTGTTGGGCCCCATTAAGAGTCAAACTAGCATAATAAATCACTCTAAGCAACTTATCAACTCGCTGACCCAAAACGGCGCCCACTGCAAGGTTAGATGCATCACACATAATTTCAAAAGGAAGAGACCAATCAGGGGCAATGACAATAGGGGCACTCACAAGCTTGCTCTTTAGTTCATTAAAAGCACTCAAGCAAGCATCATCAAAAATAAATGGTACGTCCTGAGCAAGCAAGTGACATAATGGTTGACTAACTTTCGAAAAGTCTTTAATGAAACGCCTATAAAACCCCATATGCCCCAAGAAACTCCTAATCCCCTTAACATTCACAGGAGGAGGAAGTTTTTCAATAACATCTACCTTAGCCTTATCTACCTCCATCCCTCTACTAGAAACAACATGGCCTAAAACAACACCACTCCTAACCATGAAATGACTTTTCTCCCAACTCAGAGTTAAATTAGACTCAATGCAACGCTCAAGGACACGAGACAAGTTATGGAGACAATGCGTAAATGAATCACCAAAGATAGAGAAGTCATCCATAAATACCTGCAGGCAGTCCTCAAGCATGTCCGAGAAGATGGAGAACATGCACCTCTGAAATGTACCCGGTGCATTGCATAGGCCAAAGGGCATCCGTCTGAATGCGTAAGTGCCAAAGGGGCACGTGAAAGTCCTCTTTGGCTGATCCTCAGGTGCAATGGCTACTTGGTAGTAGCCGGAGAGTCCATCCAAAAAGCAGTAGAACTGATGGCCCGAAAGACGGTCAAGGATCTGGTCAATAAACGGCAACGGAAAATGATCCTTCTTCGTCACCGCATTCAGTCGCCGATAATCAATACACATGCGCCACCCAGTAGTGATGCGGGTGGGAACCAACTCCTTCTTGTCATTCTCGATCACGGTTATGCCTCCCTTCTTCGGCACCACATGAATAGGGCTAACCCACTCACTACTCGCCACTGGGTAGATCAATCCCTCAGAGAAAAGCTTCAATACCTCTTTCTTGACTACCTCCATCATATTCGGGTTTAGCCGACGTTGGCTATCCCGAAAAGGCTTGGCTCCCTCCTCCAAGATAATTCGGTGCATGCATGTAGATGGACTGATCCCTTTGATGTCTCCCAGGCTCCAACCGATTGCTTTTTGGTTCTTCCGGAGCATAGCAATCAGCTCCTCTTCTTCCTCACGGTCAAGCTCAGCAAAAATGATCACCGGTTTCTGTTGGGCATCATCCAAGAAGACATACTTAAGGTGTTTGGGCAGCTCCTTAAGCTCAAGTGTGGCCTCAGCTCGGGAATGGCCTTCTCCCACTTCAAAGAGCTCAACTGTAGGCTCATCCTCACCCTCAACTGTTGGCATTGATACTTCCTCATACTCGTGAATCACCATCTCATCAACAAATGGGTCGGCTAGGTCAATGAAAGCGCACTCTTCTACAAAATTCACTGAGGAAGCAGACATGGCTCCTCGAACGGAAATAGACACCGACTCCCCCAAAACGGTCATGTTCAGGGTCCCATTCTTCACATCAATAAGGGTATTCGTGGTCGCCATGAAAGGTCTCCCGAGAAGGATGGTGTGATCCTTCCCATTCTCGTGCACATCTCTAACGTCTAAGTCAACGAAGTCGACATGAATGATAAGCTTACCCACCTTCACGAGAACATCCTCGACTATCCCCTTCGGATACCGTATGGAACGGTATCCGAAGGCTATCTGGATAATGAAACCACCGGGGTCACGTTCCTTCTTGGGCAAGTCGTGCTGCATGGCACTTGCCGCCTCGTACACCACCACCTTCTCTCCATCCTCAAACTTCCTCTTCTTGGTCACCAAATCCTTGAAGAACTTACCATATGATGGCATATTATTAATCACATCGAGAAGTGGCAAGTTGACATTCACTTTAGAGAGCGTGCTGAAAAGATCCCGGAACTGCTTCTCTTGCTTCTCGTTCCTAAGTCGGTCCGGAAAAGGGATACGAGGCTTGTATGGATTCAACGACTTATGTAGCACCGGCTCTTCTGTCTCCTTCCCCGGCTCTGCTTCCTGGATCTTTTCTGAATGAGTCTCCTTATCTTCGGGCTCGGGCATCTGTACTTTGTTGTCCACTTCCATCCCGCTTCTGAGTACAGTGATGGCTTTAGCGTCCTCGGGCTGACTAGGCAACTTCCCCTTGTTCATCTCGGTCTCAATAGTTCCGACCCGAGTAGCCAGTTGGCCTAACTGTGTCTCAATGCGCTTGATGGAGGCATCCTGATTGACATCTCGCTGCTCTCTGTTAGCCATAAACTGAAGGATTTTGGCAACATCGTCTTGAATGTTTGAACTTGACCCGGCTTCTGGTCCCCTCTGCTGCTGCTGCTGTGGCTGGTAGTTCGGACGGGGCACAAAGTTGGGTCGAGGTTGTTGCTGCATGAAATTTGGACGGGGTGGCTGAAGGGTGTTCGAGTTGTTCGACCATGAGAAAGCTGGGTGATTCCGCCATCCTGGATTGTACGTATTCGAATATGGGTCATTGCCAGGCCGGGCTTGGTATCCTTGTAAGGCGCTGGCATCTGCATATTGCTCACCAAACTCCTGGTCGAAAGCCGAGGGGCACACTTCAGACCTATGGCCTGGGACTCCACAAGCCCCACACGTGTCAACGGCCATGGTCTGAACCGGTTGAGCTCCTCGTGCATTAAGTAGACGCATTTGCTCTGTGAGCTCGGCTAACTGCTGGGCCATCACATTGCTTCCCGGCCCGACCTCATTCACTACCACTCTCTTCCCTCGGCTGCTCTTCTGCGATGAGTTCGTGCTCATCGTCTCGAAAATTGCAAACATCTCCTCAGCTGTCTTCACTCCAATATCTCCTCCAGCCGCATTGTCAACCATATACTGCAAGTTCTGATGGAGGGAGTCGTAGAAGCAGTTGATCAATAGTCCCGGAGAGAGGTTGTGATGAGGACACTGCCGCTGGAGATCCTTGAACCGCTCCCAAGCCTCGTGAAGAGCCTCGTGATGGGAGTAGTACCTCCCAATGAACTTCGTGTATACGTCAGTCCAGGTAGTGAGAGAGTCCGGTGCGAGGGTCATGAACCAGGACTTGGCCCGGTCCTTCAGTGTCTCGGGAAAACACCTCATCTTCAGTTGCTCTTCTGTAAGCCCGTGGAGAGGGAAGGTCTTTAGCACATTGTAGAATTCCCGAATGAAGTTAAGCGGGTCTTCATTCGGGAGCCCGTGGAAGGATGGCAGCTGGTTGTAATGGATCATCTTAAGCTCGTAGTTCCGAGCTTCTTGTGGCAACCGGATGCATGAGGTTATCGGCCCAATTGTCGGATGGGCTAGGTCTCGAAGGGTGTTACGAGGCGGTTGTTGCTGTTGTTCATCCATGACGACGTTACTGCCTTCTGACGATTTCGGGGACTGCTCGTTCCCTTCGTTAGATTCGAGAGTGAGCTCTTCCAGCAGCTCCCTCAGGCTCTCGTTGACTGATTTGTTGATCGGAGATAGCAATTTGCGTCCACTCCTGGTACGCATACACTAAGACCAACAAGGGTTACGAGCACCAATGATAAAATAAAATAAAAACAAAATAAAACGAGAACTAACACCTAACAAATAAAAAGAAATCAAGAGAAACACGGAAACAAGAAAAATCACAAGAATCAAGAGAAACACTAAAAACAAGATGAATAGGCGCACAAAATAAGTCCTAAACCTTCCCCGGCAACGGCGCCAATTTTGTTGTCATAATTTTTACCGGAGTAGAATCAAAAGATTCGACACCGGGTCGTGTCTCTCGAGGAAGGTCAGCCGGATTATTTTGTACGATTATTCAAACACAAAAATAGAAAATAAAAGAAGTGAAAATCCTAAACATTCTAAATCAAGTTTGGAGGTTTTGATTATCAACTAATGATTTGAACTGAATAAAATGGAAGCAAACTAGTAAACGACTTTACTGAATGATTAAAGTGCTAGGGAATCGGGGATAATTGCTTTCGGTTCTAACACAATCACCGGCAATCGATTGCTCGGTTAAAGGTCTCGATTCGTTTCACGTTCAGAGGTTCACTCCCAATAACTCTTCGTAACAAGAGAGTGAATGTGAACGATCAACTATCAATTCCTACAACACATAGATTATACGCTTCCGAACAAATCTATTCTAAACGAGCCTAATTCTACCAACGTCTCCCCTCTCGGTTCTACATGTTGATTATCTAGGCTAGAAAGGTGATCAATCTCCTAACCCTATGGTTCACACAACTCGAATAGACATGAACAATCAAAAGCACTCAATTATAACGAACCTAATCAATCATCCCCTATCCCTAGCGAGTGGATTTAGCTACTCATATGGAATTCAACATTAACATTCACACAAACCCAAGCCATCATCATCAACAAAGAAATTGAGAAAAATAACTTACGATTAATATAGAGAATCCAATGTCAAATCCAAGTGCATCCAAATCCAAAGCAAGAAATAGGAGTTGTCAATCTCCCAAAACAATTCAAAAGTGCGAAAGAAAGAAAATGAATGGTTTTTTCTCCAGAAGGAACGTAAAAATAAAGTTGGAATGGTCAATCCTCAACCTAGGATCAAAAACAGCATTAAAAATCCCGCTCCTCGAAAAACGCGCCGGTTAAGTCGCGAGTCGCGAGATGGTCTTTGTCTTGGTCGCGAGTCGCGCGTTGTCTTCTTCTTTAAATTCAGGGGCTTGGTCGCGACCTGACTCGCGAGTCGCGACTCCATCCCGCGAGTCGCGACTCGTTCTTCGGAAATCCTCTATAGCTTCAGTTTTCCCCGCGAGGCGCGACTCATTCGCGAGTCGCGACTCCACTCGCGAGTCGCGAAACATTCTGCGCATGGTTTCTGTCCGTTTTTCGGTCCTCTTCGTCGTCTTCTTGGCTCGGCCAACGGGAATTCTCGATATCCTGGTCTCGGCTCAAGCAGTTCCATCCTCGACCGACACAACCTACCTCCTGAAAACACAAATACAGAAAAACACGAAGCAAAACACGGCAAAAAGATACAAAAATATAAACTAAAGACAAAAACACAAAACGAACGAAATGGACCAAATAAACTACAAAAAACCTACAAATGGGAGAAAACAAAAAGAAAATAAACATGAAATAAAGACACAAAAATGGAAAAAACAGTACATTTAACAACAAATATTATTCTATTTTTATTGTTAATCTATTTAACTTTTGAAGCATGATATTTCTATGGTTTTATGTATAATTGATAGGCTAATCAAGTTCCAACTTCTGGAGGATATTACATGTCAAGGCCACCAGATTCATGCATTTACCCCCAAAATAATTCAATTCAACTACAAGAAAAGGTATACTTCCATTAACTTGTTTTAATGGGCGTTTATGATTTTTAAGAGGCCTTACACAATTCATGAGACGTCATGGATAACTGGTTTCTTTATTTTTAATCTAACACCAAACTGAAGCAAGACATATTCATTTGTTCATGTATATGAATAGGTTAACCCAATTCCAACCTTTGGAGGGTATTACATGCCAAGGTCGCATGCTTCACCCATTTATCCTGAGAGTAGTTCGATTCAACTTCAAGAAAATGTGTGTTGTATTAACATTTTAACGGCTTACATTACTAAAAAAAAGTTCAATTTAATAATTTTGTATGGTTGATATCATAATGTTTTATAGGGTCTTCTTAATCCACTATGGGGTAGAAGTTATGCTATAAGGAATAATAGCATACATGCAGAAAATTTGACAGAAAATTTGACACAGGTAACTATATATGTTACATATTTAATCTAATCCAATTGATGTCAAAATATTTGTATAACCTAGTTTTATTATTTACTTGACTTTCTTAATTCCATCTCTCTCTCTTTTTTTTTTTTTTT